GGATGGCTCAGTCCCTCTTAGGAGGGAGTCCCCGACCACCACCACCCGTTGTTTCCTTCTGGGCGTGGTGGCCGTGGAACCCCCATCCGTAGGACTACGCATCCCATGCCTTCCAGTAGATAGTGTTCCCTTCTGGTTTCTTCCTTGTGAGGTCCCTTCCAGAGCTTTCAGCACTGCAGAGCCTGTGGAGAGAGCTTGAAAGCGATTGCTTATCTCTATAGCATCGGGGGATTCCTGTGCTGGCCTTTTTCCCCTTCTAGAAGTTACATGCTGCCAGTTCTCTTCTTGGTCACATACTGCCCTCTCTGGCTCTTCTGCCTGCCATGCTTGAAGGATTAAATGCTGCCTTCTAACGAGGAAGTCTTCATCCTCTCTGATCAAGCGTAGGGTCGACACTTGGGCCTCCAGTCCTCTAATTTTTTCTTCCAAAATGTCGACCAGCTTGCATTTGGTGCAGATGAAATCCGTTCTTTCTTCCAGGAGGAAGACAAACATGGCACACGCTGTGCAGGTAACACACTTGGGCCTCCAGTCCTCTAATTTTTTCTTCCAAAATGTCGACCAGCTTGCACTTGGTGCAGATGAAATCTGTTCTTTCTTCCGGGAGGAAGACAAACATGGCACACGCTGTGCAGGTAACAACAGCAGACCCATCACCAACCATCGCTGCTGTCCTGGAAAAGGGATTTAAAAAGAAAGGCAATAGAACCTCCCGCCCTTCCCAACTCCCTCTCAAAACACGCTTGCCCACTGGTCGCTTGCCCACTGCCTTATAAAGCCGCTCAGCCAATCAGCAGAGGCTTCTAGAATTCAAACTTTAATTAGAAGCCAACAGTTTCCACCTGCCAATCACAGGTTATTTGTTTGGTCAGTAAGGCCAGTAGTGGTCTGGGTCTCTGACTCTAGGCTGCTTTTTCAGTTCAGTGTTCTGGACCCTCTGGATGGTGTCCAAGCTAATCTAGCTCCCTTGATGCACCTTCTTGTCCTGCTCATCCGGAGCTTCGGATAGGGGAATGAGGGGCAAAGTCTGGGTGTAAAAGGACTGATTCTCTCATCAGATGTTACAAAGTATCCTACTGCACTCCTCATACCAATGGGTCTTTCACAGTGCTGTGTTCTGCAGATGCTTCGCAAGGTTAGTAAAGAGCGCCTATGATGACTGAAGTCATAATTTGCCAAAAATTTCTCTGTGTGGCATATTCACATCTTTTACATGATACTTCACACACAGAATCTGACACAGAGTAGAAGTATATTTTCCCCTAGTACAACTCTTTGTAGCCATTACAGGGTAATTTCATACAATCAACCAACCACCTTCTATTACAAACCAATGTCAATTTTAATTTTTTCCTAGAATAATGAATTAGAGGCCTTGTGCCTCTATTAAACCAAGTGTCCATAAGCAATTCACAATACCACTCTCCAATATGAAGAAAAATTGATTTTACCAGACAGATCTCTCCCCCTCAAATCATAAGTAATATTCCTTCCTATCCCAAACTTCATTACTTCACTTATAATTTAAAAATAGTTAACATTTTTATTCACACTGAAATTAGAGCTAATTTTCTTGTTTCAAAATCCTTTAAAATTTGCTACTTCCATATTCCAACATATATAAGCGACAATGAAATGTAAAAACAAAAAACTTGAATAAACCAGTTTTTTCCCCTGGGAGGAGTGGGAGAAAAATAAGTAAAATCCTGTGTTCCTATACCAAGCTAGTTACGTCTGATAACTGTCCCTCTCTGCCAACTTACTTAAGAGGAACTAACCAATAATTTTACATGCAATCTTAAGTTTTGATACTATGTTCACAACATGGGGGGCAAGAAAATTTCTCCCATAAAGCTTTCCACAGTGGAAGCACTAACTAGCCCTTTCTCCTCACCTTTCCATCTATGATTACACACTGGCCTACTCTGAGCATTTCCCAGTCCACCTAATATTGCCATCTTTGGTGAAGCACTTGCTATTACAATTCTTGTCATCCATATCAGTATTCCTGAAATCCCCCAGCTCTTGCATTGTCCAGACAGTTGCAAAAAAATCAAGCGGGTAAAACCTTTTTGCTTGGTTATAGCTTAAAAAACAAAAACTCAATGTGATTTAAAAATTTTAAAGTAACTTATGACCAATTTTTCAACATGCATTAACATTCTATATTGTAGACAATAGTTTTTATTATACATGCTATACAAAATTTTAAAATCCTAGCAACCAAGGAGATTCAGTATAATGTTATTTCAGATCAGAGGATGGACCTGCACCCTCGGGACCTGACCAGTGCCCAACTGGAGAATTTGCAGAAGCACCGGAGATCAGTATTGTCTAGCAGTACAGGCAGTCCCCGGGTTATGTACAAGATAGGGACTGTAGATTTGTTCTTAAGTTGAATTTGTATGTAAGTCGGAACTGGTACATATTGTAGGGGAAACTCTAGCCAAACATTTCTCCAGAGCTCAGTTTTATTCTCCCACACCTCACTTCCCTCAGTCCTTTATTCTCAAGCTGAGGTGTCTGCTGAGAAAAGCCGCTCCATATCTCTCTGGTCTGCTGGGAGGGGGGGGCGCTAGCTTCGCATCTCCCTAGTCTGCTGGGGGGAAGCAGCTAGTGTGGGGTTGCCTCACCCCGTTTGTAAGTAAGGATCCGATGTAAGTCGGAGCCATGTAACCCAGGGACTGCCTGTATTACCAACATTTCCACAGCTTCCTGGGCTTTTAGAAGAAATTTAGGGGTAAATTAGAGCTGAACAACAGCACAGAGTACTGAGAGCCAGGACTGGTGGCTGTAAACAAACTTCATGGAACAATGGGAAACTTGGCCACAGTCTTGATAAGTGGACATCCAGCTAACTAAAATAATGCCGGACTACGGATGTTGCCAGATGAGAGTGTGCTGACTAGAGGGTCAACCTTGCAAAAAAGAATAAATATTGTACTTGAGTCATCCCAGCTATACAATGGAACTGAGAGCCAGGACTGGTGGCTGTAAACAAACTTCATGGAACAATGGGAAACTTGGCCACAGTCTTGATAAGTGGACATCCAGCTAACTAAAATAATGCCGGACTACGGATGTTGCCAGATGAGAGTGTGCTGACTAGAGGGTCAACCTTGCAAAAAAGAATAAATATTGTACTTGAGTCATCCCAGCTATACAATGGACTGTTTATCAAGAGTCAACGTAATACCCAGCATTTTTACTAATTTTTTTTTT